AAATAATTAATTATGAATTATGAATAAAAATGTTTTATTTATTTACTTATTTAAACTGAAAATGTACATAACAAAATAGAAAATATTACATATTAAACATCTAATAATGTTATATTAAATAATAAAAAAAATACTGAAATTTTTACAGTGCCTCTTTTTTATTATTTTGCAAAATAAAAAAAGCAGATTTTGCACAGGCTACTGAGCCTGTGGTTGTTTTACACAAGATGATATTAATGCGGCTTATGTGCAATTTGTGTTATGGAAATACCAGAGAACTTTAGTATATTCTCATCCTAATTCTAAACTGTTTGATGTAAAACGGGCTGCTTCTCAGCACTTCAGTAAGATCATCTAACCAAATGCAATTTCTGTTAAAGAGCTCTTATGAAAGATCAAAGTTTGGCAAACTGCCTTTTGTTTTCTTTCATTTGAATCAAACCAGGCTCAATTCCACGTCTTTGCGCACCTCGCTTCTTTACTTGCAGAATTCATACTCGCCCGGGCAAGTGGTTTAGATTGTTTTTCCTTAAACTATGACTGGAATCCAAACAAGAAGAACAAAGCCGTTTTCAGCGTCTATATATATATAATATTTTATTTATTATAAATTGTACTATATATAAAATGTTATATAGATATGAATATCAACCAATAACCTCCTTAGACAAAATTAATGGTTACACTTTATTTTAAGGTGTCCTTGTTACAGTGTAACTATACATTTAAGTACTGAGTAATATTAATTAACTATATGTACTCACTATATGGTGAGGGTTAGGATTAGCGTTTGGTTTAGGGTTACTTGCAAGTAATTATGCATAATTAAGTGTTATTTTAATAGTATGTAACATGTGTAACAAAGGCACCTTAAAATAAAGTGTTACCAAAGTAATATCATAATGTAATATGTCTATTATTATTGTTATTATTTTAAATACACCATAACTTAAAACATCGGCATGTATAATCTCAGATATACGTGTAAATCCAAACAAGAAGAACAAAGCCGTTTTCAGCGTCTATATATATATAATATTTTATTTATTATAAATTGTACTATATATAAAATGTTATATAGATATGAATATCAACCAATAACCTCCTTAGACAAAATTAATGGTTACACTTTATTTTAAGGTGTCCTTGTTACAGTGTAACTATACATTTAAGTACTGAGTAATATTAATTAACTATATGTACTCACTATATGGTGAGGGTTAGGATTAGCGTTTGGTTTAGGGTTACTTGCAAGTAATTATGCATAATTAAGTGTTATTTTAATAGTATGTAACATGTGTAACAAAGGCACCTTAAAATAAAGTGTTACCAAAGTAATTTCATAATGTAATATGTCTATTATTATTGTTATTATTTTAAATACACCATAACTTAAAACATCGGCATGTATAATCTCAGATATACGTGTAAAAAAAAATAAAAACATGTCCATAACAGTGCACAGAAACCAACTGCTGGCCCTCATGAGAGACAAAAGCATGTTGGGACAGATGCTCCTTTGACTTGGGTGTCCAAAAACTCATCAGTCATTGCTGATCAACCATACATTTGGTTGCAAGTCAGTTTGTCTGGTTAGGGATTTGAATAACACAAAACATAAGCAACCACATCAGTATTTATATATGACCATAAGTCATTTCTGAAGCTCGTGGACCACTGGATGCTGAACTGTAGATAACGGACCACTCATTAATATGCATCATTATTTATTTGATACAGGCATCCTGTAGTATTGGTAAAACACACGATAATGTAAATTGAAAGCACTGCATATATCATTTTGTCCGTGAATAAATGTGAATATTACTCACAGTGTGATGCTGGGTTGATATCCTGGGATGAGATGAATCCTGATGAACAAAAAGCGTTCAAGAAATCAAAGGTAAATGCCGAATAAAAGATAAATGAATATGTTGGCGTGCAGTTTTTCTCGACACCCGTTGAATTAAGGCACGCGGAGCCTCACTGTATATCACACACCGCGAGACATTTAATTATGCGCGTTTGCATCTGAGAGACGAATACAGTGATGTAAAGGAGTACTAACCGACGCGGACACCTGATTGGCCAGAGAATGGGCGGGCTCTTCTACTCTCCGTCATTTGATTGGCGCGTCAGAGCTCGACGGGCCAAATTCTAGCGCTGATTGGTCAGAGCAACGGTCGTATGCTTTCATTTATACGGAGAAATTTAGAGAGGCTACCTGAACATCAGAAAAAAAGACTGTTTAGATTATAGATAATAAAATAGATTTTAGTACCTATCATAGTTAAAGATACATAGATGGATGCCATTTTTTTTTAAAAGTCAAACGACATATTTTATCGATAAATAACATCATTCTCTCCTCCCACAATCTGTATTACCGGATTCTTTCTTTAAAAGCTGCATGATTATTCTGTTCTGTTTACAGTATAGGGCTACTCCTGTTCTCTTCATTTTTTAAGCTTCTTTTGCATTCTTATTAAAAAAAGAAATCTGATATATATATATATATATGCTTAGCCTATATATTATACATGTAAAAATAGCAGAATGTACTTCTGTACATTAAAATACATTTAAATCTTTTTATTGATTTATTCGAATGTTTACTTATTTATATATATATATTAAAATGTGTAGGCCTGTTATAAATAAAATATGTATTTATATAATTAATTAGTGTGACTGACCAACCAAAAGTAACACCAGACACAATTTTCACCTTTTCATCATGACACTCATTATATATTTTTATGCAAAATTAGTTTTTTGTTTTTTTTGTATTTATGGATGGCACTTGCTGGATTAAATCGTTGCGTACTATAAAGGCTACTTGAAAAATAGTATCTGACTAACTGATCGTCTGAAACAGATGCTTAACCATCGCTGGATTATTTTGTATTTGAATCCAAATGTGCGTAAATAAATATTATTTTACATTTAGATAAAAATAGAGAACTTTATAGATACATATTTTTATATATAAAAAATGCATACATTTGAGACTGTTGATGAAGACTTAATGAATGAAGGCTTGTGGTGGGTCCTGACCCCATGTGTGTGTGTGTGTGTGTGACTCACTCAGCTGGGGTGCGAGTCTGACCCGCTGAAGGATGAAGAGGAGTCGAGGAGGAATCAGGACGCGAGCAGTGGCCGCCTCCATCTACTGACGCATATTGCTTTATATAACAGCCACATTTTATTTTAGAAACGCTGCAAGAATGAGAGACCAAAATGAAAATTAAGCTTGTGTAATGTGCATTAAGACTAAAAATCTCATTACTATAATACAGTATTTTTTTCGTATAACTGTAAAAAAATTTTTTTTTTAAATACTGTAAATCAATGAACACTAACATAGTGGGAGAATTAATAGGAACCTGTGCTTAGCTGTCATAAAAAAATAATGTCACGAGAAAATAAAATCACATTCCATGTGCATATTTATAAAGCCTTTCCTTTACATTATTGCCCAATCTTGACAGATTTTGAGAGAGTCGTAATTCGCCTTATAATCAGTTGTACAAATACTCATAATTCATTTTAATCTAGCTATTGTACATTATACAACACTTACCTTTTCATGTTATGTTTTGAATATAGACTCTGAAGTTTTTTCTTGTGTTAGACATGAAGTTAAATTAAGTATTATAAAGCACTCACTTTTAATGTCTAAAAATTAATAAATATTGTAATGACTACTGACCAGGTTCATAAATAAATGCCACAGTAATTAATAAACGCGCAAAAAAAAAAAAGAAGAAAAAAAAACATATTTATAAAGCCTTTCCTTTACATTATTGCCCAATCTTGACAGATTTTGAGAGAGTCGTAATTCGCCTTATAATCAGTTGTACAAATACTCATAATTCATTTTAATCTAGCTATTGTACATTATACAACACTTACCTTTTCATGTTATGTTTTGAATATAGACTCTGAAGTTTTTTCTTGTGTTAGACATGAAGTTAAATTAAGTATTATAAAGCACTCACTTTTAATGTCTAAAAATGAATAAATATTGTAATGACTACTGACCAGGTTCATAAATAAATGCCACAGTAATTAATAAACACGCAAAAAAAAAAAAAAGAAGAAAAAAAAAGAAAAGAAACATGATCTACTACCTAGATAAAATAAAACTAATCTTGTAAGGTATGTGGTGCTTTCGTAACTATATATTATTTATATAACATTTTACATAATTATTTGAATAAGGAATTAATTCAATTGCAAACAATTAATTTGACAAAACGACATTGTACTGATTGTACTGATTGCAAATGTGGCTAGGATTATTGCCGAGCAGATATTAATATGGAAATGTTGCTTTTCATTTAACTATAGGTCATTGAAATCATACACATTTCACCATTTAGTATCTTATCCAATAATAAATGGATTTAGGACAAACCGACAAGAACACGCCGAGATGAATCTTGTGTGGGTGAAGAACATCTACTATCTACACCCACATTCCTCACTCACTTAATCACAAACATTACATATGTGCTTCTGTTATTCTATAATGTAGAGTTTTCTGCAACCAAGTGTTTGATGGGATTGCGAAGTGGATCCAGTTTGGCTGAAACGAGATCCAAAAGAAGGTCCTCCTCAATATCAGACATCCAAGAGCCCCTACAGTCTGCGCTCATGAAGCCATTAAGAGAAGTCAGGTTAATGGCAGGCTTCGGGTTCCCATTTCTCTTTTATCTCTGAAAAGTGTTGAAGCCACTGCCACCCTTTCCTTCTTTTTGCAATGTGTTGCCATGGAAATACAGAAGCACATGCTAAACATCTGATATATCAGATCTTGCTTTAATTAGAGGCTTTTGTCTGTGATATGCAATGAACGAAAGCAGAAGGTAGAGTCAATTTCATAGTTAGGAATGCATCATTTTCAGGTTAAGCCTATGGAATTTTTTGACCGTTTTAACATTACAAGTCAAGCTTTTCTTAGCATGTGCTGCTAATAAAGAAAAAAAACATATGCGTAATCATTTTCCACTGGATTTATTTTTATCTTACCAAGAGCACGTGGAACAGACAACATGGTTATTAAAGCAATTCATTTTACTCATAAAACTCATTTTCGAAATGACACTGAGAAACCGCGATAAACCGATTCCTCCATAGTGTTTATGCATGTCAGATAAAGCAAGTTATGCAAATCTCTGGATTCCTCTTCATTTTCATATTTCTGTTATGAAGTCCAAAACCGGTTTTACTGTATTTGTTTGTTTCGATGTACCAGCGTATGATAAATACAGTTCTTGAACTCTACCAACAGGGCGGCGCAGCAGAGTCGCGATTAACTCCGTTCGTCTTCCTGTTTGAGTCGTTTTCGCAGGTGATCACCAACCGCAGCTAAAGGGTTGATCTTGAAGGCGGGATTTTTCATGGCTTCGCTAAAGTGAGATGCTTCAGTCTCGCTGGAACCACACAAATATAACAATTCATTTGACTTTGTTAAAATATCTAGACAGACAGACAGATAGATAGACAGTAGTAACATTATATAACAAGTAGTAACATTACTTGCATACAATTTTATTTTCGGTTATTTTATTGAAATAATTTTATATAAATCAAGTAATTTACAATAAATCGATTAACATGTTTTTTTATAATAATAAATGTTTAAATAATGTTTTTTACTTAAATGATAAATAATTTGCAAATAATAATTTTCAGAAAGTTTTTAATAATTTATATATTTTTTTTATTAATGTGATGTGCTTAATTGTCATGACAATAATGCAAAAATATTGAAGGTTAATACTTTCTTCTCACCAATAATAGTAGCCACATTTGCAATTAGTGTCTTTTTTTATATTATCCTGTGGAAACTATATTTTGCATTAAAAATTAGCACACAATTAGTGTCAAATAAATTGTTTTAAATGGCTTGCAATTGAATAATTGCTGCATCTTACGCATATTAAACAGTATGTATTACAAAACACAGGGTATTACTTCTTTTAATTAATTAAGAATTTATCTTTTTACCTCACATTATGATTTTGTATTTTACGTTTTATTTTATTTTTTATTGTTTTTTATTTTTATGAGGAATTCAACAAAGAATGTGCTTAACTGTCATGACAATAATTTAAAAAATATATAATATTAATCAAAATTGGCTTTATTTAGGATTTATTGTCTCTTTATGCAATATATAATTTCATTTTTTGTTTCTGAGTGAAATATGACCTTGTTCTTGACATGTTTTGTGAGATTTTTCCATTAACCACCAGGTTTTTATAAAAATTGTGGTGCTAAATGATTGATGAAATAAAATTCATGTGAAATGTGAATGTGAAATTAATGTGAAATTAACATTAGCAAAGCTTGGAAATAAAAGGGAAGCCATTATCTTACAGTAGTTTTCTTTTCTGGGCTGGTTTCATCAAGCTGAAGTTTGTGGGTTCTGGTTTCTTCTTAACCAAACTGTGGCGAGAAACAAGAACAAACAATTGTGTTACATGCAGAACAATTTATATTTATTATTTATTGTTTAATTGAATATTTATTATTATTATTTAATTAACTTAAAAAAAAAACATGTCAGAAAAAAAGCTCAATTGTTTTATATATAAATATTTAGAGGCATGTTTGAAGACACGCTTTGAAGTTCTTCAGAGCACAGGCTTTCCTCACACAAGTGTTATTTATTACTCATGCAAGACAAAGCAAGACTTCACAACACATCAAATGACAAACAGATAAAACACCACAAACAAACTGAGAAAACAGACTAATGTGGTTTGAATCAAAGCAATTAAACAGTTGTGAGAAACATTTTGTCTTTCAGAGTTGTGTGCTCAGCCTAATTCGATTCATCTACAAAACAGCGTGACTGCTGTCGACACGTGGCATGCTTCATTTCTCAAGAAATACATTTAGAGCCTGTGTGCGATATAAATGTACTTTTTACTGTAATATGCTTATGGGGGATTGCCAAAAATATCAAAGACTGAAGAGTTTTGTCTGCTGTTCAAGGTTTACATTTTAACACCAGGGTTATTATAGTTAACGAAAACAAAATAAAAACGTTTTGGTCACTTCAAATAAAATAACAAAAAAAAACAAACTTATTTTAGCTAGTTGCCAAGGCAACATTTCTATTAATTTCATTTAGTTTACCTTAATGTACTAAAATAACTAAAACTGAAATCAAAATGAATAAAAAGACGACATTTAACAAAAGACTATAATGCTTAAACTTAAAGACCAATTTCAAGCCGATTCAATTTTTATCCAAAACTTTTTAAAATCGTATTTATGTACATGACGTTTCCATATATAAATATCTTATTTGTTTACTTACAGGGTTCCCACACCTGACCAATGTATTTTCATGACTTCCAGTGATTTGTGATTACTTAAGAGTTTTAATTTTTGTTGATGCGGAATTAATTTGTAAAACAAAATGTAATGTGTTTGAGATTATGATTTGGCTTTTGGTATTTTATTAGGTATCTTTCTGGGGAAATAGAAAAAATGAATTGTTTAAATGTACTATAAATATTAAGTAAAATTATAGATCTCAAACTGGTCTGCAGAAAATTAATACAAAAAAGAGAAAGAGGTGTTGAATGAAATCTGTTTGTATGACGTGTTGTTTTGAGACACTCATTCACGCCAGTAAATATGCACAAATCTGCATAAATTATCCCAGAGCTTGTGTGTAGTAATGAGAAAACGGAGGCTTACGCTTTGTTTCTCCGCTGTGCGCTGGCGGGGGTTTTGAGAGACGGGAGGAGCAGGGAGAGTTCAGGAAGGGCATCTGCCAGCGGTCTCATGTCGCCCACCACGGGTGTGGCCTTCCTCCGCGCCTGCGCCACCTGCATCTCATGCGCCAGCTTGATCGCACTGATCTCTGGAGATGATACAGACACAAACAAACTACATATGAAAAAGTGCTTTTCTGGTTACAACAAGCAGTAGACACATATTCACATATTCATTCAAATTCACACAGGCTCTTTGAACTGTTGCGAAGTTGTGAAGCCATTTCCCAATCCTTTTCTCCTTGTCATTTTCTGTTCTCTGGCAAACGGAATGAAAAGGAATAAAATAAAATAGTTAAACAACAATTAAATTAGAATACATAAAAAGGCATCATTTAAAAACAAGGAAAATCATAAAATAAAGAGTATAAAACAAAACATTAAAAAAAGAATTTAATAAAGTATAAAATAAATATATTAAAGGCATAACTTTTTTAACGTGTTAAAGTATAAATGAAAAATGTGTAAAAAGTAAAAAATAAAATGGCATAAAAGTGAATTAAAAAATAAAATGGCATAAAATAAAACTACAAATGTATAAAATAAAAAAAATATATATATATTAAAAAAGGTATAAAAAGCATAAAATAAAACCGAATCATAAAAATAATAATAAACTTAATAACATACTCCCATTAAATAGAAAAAAGGCACAAAAAGCCATAAAAACCATGAAAACTAAAACATAAATTCATATAAAACTCATATAATTAAATTAAATAAAATGTCATAAGGGAATTAAAAAGCATAAAATATAAACAAAAAAAAATATTTAAAAGACATAAAATAAAAACTGCCTAAAAACCTTTAAAAAAAACAAAAGCATAAACACAAAGATAAAAATGTGTAAAATAAAAGGGTAAATGTTTAAAAAAAAAAATTTATAAAAGCATAAAATATATATTTAAAAAACAAAAGGTATAAAATAAAATGGCACAAGTTCATTTTAAAAAACAAAAGCATAAAATAAAAACATTATAAAATGACATACGTAAAATACATAAACCATATCTCTAAACCTATCCCTATACATAAAAGTACTTCAAATAAACAAATCTCCTTTTAATCACGGCAAGGGATCAAAGAAATAAATTGGTTTTAAATAATATCTCAAATGAAACATATCACAGTAAAGTTACAGTAGGTCACACTTTTTAAAAAGAAGTAGTTGGTTTAATAGGATCAGTTGATTCCAGTAAGCCTATATCCAGTATGACTTCCTGTCCAGCCCTCAGACAGAAAATAACTCCTGCAGGAACAGACTGATGTCACCCGACCATCGAAAACCAAACCGAAGCTCTGAGACAGAAAGCAGGACACCGCAGATGCTTCAGTCCAAAAACAACAAAGTACATGTAGGGGAGACAAAAACAGACAGAGAAGCACTTCTTTGACAGAAGCACTACGTCTTTTTGCAAACACAAAATAAATGTCATTTTTCATCTCACAAGTGGCCATTTTGGTTTTTTCTACTGCTGTTATGACTTTGTTAACCTTGTATACAAGTGTTTTTGTACACCATTTGTTAAGACCTTGAAGGTCTTTGAGTTTTATGAATCCTCCCCCCTTTTTAATTTCCTGACAATGCGACATGCAGTCTGAGGCTTGGGTTTCGGCTGGAGCCGTGAGCCCCATTAGATCCTAATTATAATCACCTCGGCCGGAGCTTGTGTTACACGCCGCATTGATCGGCCCGAGCGATTAGAGGCGTCAGAATCGGGGTGCGGCGTTAATGATCCATCTCTGAAGTTCCCTTCGGCCCATGAGATCAGTTCACGATGAAAGAAATGGCCTCACATGAGCATTTTCCTTTGCGGGAAAGAAAGAAGAGTAGGTGAAAAAATACTCACTGTTAAGCCATCTTTCCCTGCGCTCCTTCATTTTTTCTTTCTTCGACTGTTGTTTCTTTTCTCCTGTGCCTGAAAAAAAGACAGTTCCATATGGATCATTACGGATTCATTTTACGAAGATTTTATGCATTTTATGCGTTCAACACTAAAAGGCTTAAAAATAAAAAACAAAACATTAATAATCATTATTCTCAAAAGGGGAAAAAGAGGAAGCTAAAAAGTGTGCTTTATATTTAGTTTAGAATGCGATGCAATTTGGTTCAGTTCCCAACAGAAATGAACCTGGAACTGCAAATAATGTATGGTGGGAAAAGTAAAATAAAAAGAATTTATCTTTTTTTTTACCAATGTTCTGAAATTACACAGAAGAGTCACTAATTTTAATCAGATCAAATATTATGGCATGTGTCATGGCTGTGGGATTGCATATCGAATGGAAAATAACAACAGCCCACATGAGAATAGATTACAGTAGGATGTCTGTTGTCTGTTTAACTGCATGTAACTTCCTGTTCCTGGATAGTGACGTCTTATCAGAAGGAGCATATTGTGTGTATTTAACGATTGTGCTGACCTCTGGGGATCAGATCGAGTGTGACGAGGAATCTATATTTGCCTATGTGTGAATGTATCAGTGTAATGTCCATCTGACAGAGGTCATTCACAGACCACTGAGGTCAAACCACAAATAAACCTCTTTTAGAAGTGATATGTGATGCACAAGATTTACGTGCTTCATTTTCATAGAAAGGACTAAATAAAAATATTAAATTGTTATTAATTAATTAATTAACATTATGACAACATATTCTGATGGTCTATAGAATAATAATTACCTTTCATTAAAATCATTATTTAAATCACTGTTTCAGAAAATCCACTTATTGGGTGCTTAATAAAAATAATTAATTTGTTTGTAATAATTTAATTATAACATTCAAATTGTTAGTATAAAGAATAATAATGACTATTAATACAATAATATTCAATTTCTGTGACTTTACTTTTATAAAATGCACTTACAGTGCACTTAAAAATGATTAAATAGTTTTTATTAATTAAATATTATAATATTCCAATTGCTAGTATCATTAATAATAATAATAATAATTATAACTATTAAAAATAACATTTAAATTACTGTGCATTCAAAAACTGCTTCACTTTCATAAAATGCACAATGGCTTTAAAAAGAAGACTAAATTAATCATTTAATATTGTTATGCAAACAGTACTAATATAATCAGTAATAATAATTATGCTAATTAAATATATTTAAATTACTGTGCATTGAAAAAAAAACAACATCAAAAGACATATATGTTTTACTTTCATAAAATGCACTTTTGGTGCTTAATAAAAATTCTTGTTGTTAATTAATTTTATTATAATATTCCAATTATTAGTATAAATAATTATAATTACTATTAATAAAAATATTTAAAATAAACAGCACTGAAAAAATAGAAAATGTCAAGATTTACATGTTCTACTTTCAGAAAATGCACACTGGGTGTTTAACAAAAATAATACAATTTTTATTAATAATTGAATATTATAATAATCTGATTGTTAGTGTAATTCATAATTACTATTAATTAATAATAACTGAATTACTGTGAAAATCACCATGAAACAACATAAACTGCCCAAACTCAATTTTGCTTGGCATTTTGAATGACCCGTGTTGTGCTTAAAACAGTTAAACTACAGTGACCGTTTTGTCCAAAAATAAGACAAGTGCATTAAACCCAAAGAGAAACGCATGAAATGACTCGACCTCTGCGATTTCCATCTCTGGGGAGAAACTCAACAACCAACAAGCTTCTGGTTGCCGAGCAACATTCAGAGGAAAAGAGTGTTTGTATGAGATATCTGATCATGAAAAACTTCTTCACAGCTCTGCAAAGATCCAATCAGCAGCGAAGGAGAACACATTTCACTACATTTCTGATCGCTGTCCAGAGAGGCACGTGAAGACGGGGCTATTGAGTTATTTTGCCGCTTTATAGGCCTTGAACGGTTAAATACACACTTGTATGTGTCAAAATGCCCATCTTTGCAAGAATCCATAAACACAGTAATTTAGATCTTAAGTGAAAACAAACAGCTGAGAAAGAAAACACATGTGTAACAGTATATTGGATCCGGGTAGCTCTTAAAGTGACAGCAGTCTAACATTCCTGCTTTCTGTCATTCATTTTAATCAAACAAAAGAGAGAAAATCTCTCACTGCTCTTGACTAAATCACTTTTGTAACTTTAATAAGAAGGAATATAGATTTATTTTCCACAGTGAAGAATATGCAGTGTTTTTATACATTTGATTACTTTATAATCATTCTACTCTAGTTTTTTTTTGTGTCCTGTTGCTTGCAATTCGTTTCTTATTTAAATGCGGACTGTTTACTTGTCTCCAGTGAGCTCGAGTTGTTTTTTTATTTTTTTATTTAGACTAGTCTTAGTTTTTTTGTGATGTTGACACTAGTGACAAGAATTTTAAAATTTCTATGGTATCACAAATTTTGATATAAAAAATAACTATCATGATATTTATCGTTACCGTGAAATGCTAAAATTCCTCTTATCGTGATATAATGTTTTGCGTGGAGGTATCTAACAAGTTTTACTTTAGATAATAATGAATAATAAAATGTATCTTTATATTATTCCCATTACAGTAATGATAATTAGATTATTATAACAATAATAATAATTATTATTATTATTATTATTGTCATACAAATATAATTTCTTATATTTTTGCTTATAAGGTGAAATATGATCTATAACATTTACCGACAGATTAAAATACAATAAATTAATTCATTGCACATTTTGTATAAATGAGTAAGACAAAATATCTAAAAAAATTTAAAAAAAAAAACTCTTCCAATAAAAATATTTTCATACTGTAAAACTGTGCTCAAACTAAATGATTTAACAATTTCAGTTTGTTGTAACAGTGTTTTCCACATTTTGATGCCAAAGAGAGTTTTCACTCATTTCCCAGCTGTGAGAAGTGAATCAACATCTGTAATCCAATTGGAAAAATGTAGCCACATCCGCAGCACATTTCTGTGCATTTATGTCTGCTATTTTGTATGTGTCAATCCCTTCGAGACGACTGGCCTGTTGTGAGTGTGTGTGTTTGTAAGAGAAACAGCATCTCAAATGACCGTCATCTTCCTGCGAGGAAAGCTGAACCAGGACAGATTCGATGCAGGAGACTCAAGAGAATAACATGAGAGTTACTTATGAGTCCTGAACGATTACGTGTCATGTACACATCAAAACAAGCTTTCACTCAGTTTTAACAGTGTTATAAACACACACAGACGTCTGTGTGTTTTTGTCTGTATATGGGCATCACACGGTAACAGACAAACTGCTCAATGAGCTCTGTCCTCTGGAAACGAGTCTGGAGAGGAGACTCGATAAGAGAGATAAACGTCATGTCCTTCGACCCACATTTCTCCTCACTATATCACTTGTTCCATTCTGACGATCTCTGACAGAAAGACCTGCATGTGAAGTCCAGACACAAACGCCCTCAGCCTCTGCATCCTTCAATGATATGATAAATACAACAAACATCTGCTTTTACACAACGCCTCTGGGAAAATGACAATAACGAGAAAAAGGGGAGCCTGAAACTCTTAATATATTGAATTGAAAGGTATTAAAGTCAGAACAAGATATTTTTACACTGTTATGTGTTATTTTGTTAATATATTATATTTATCACATTATATATTTACCACAATTAAACAAGTAATTTAGAGTAAGTAAATTTAAGGCATTTAAACATAGCAACAAAAACAATTATATGCATACGTTTAGAAGACACATACAAAATTTTCAACACTATTATGGGATATTTAAATAGTCAAAAAAAACTGAATTGTGTAATTATCTAAATAAAAATTTTAAAATTATATATATATATATATATATATATATATATATATATATATATATATATATATATATATAGAGATATAGAG